ATATCACATCTACCCAGAGAACTTGCCAAACTAATTTGTGGCACATCTGCCAGAATTTTGGCCCCTACTGCTCTAGGCAGAAAGTCAAAATGGTCTCACAGATGCAGAAAACTGACCTACTTCCCTCATGCTTGAGACTAGATTTTCCTGAAGCAACACTGTATTTAAGCTCCAACAAGAAAAGAAGTGTTAGCTTTACCAATATGAAAGGACCAAGGGAATGATTTTCATTAAAGGCACCCCAAGTTCAATTTAAAGCAAATTAAATGTGATTGGACAACAAGAAACAATTAGTTATTTTCATTGGGGAAAAGCATTAAGGTTACTTGGGGCACCTTAGGGCAAATATCATGAAATATAAATTTCTATTCAAAAAATTGTTTTCATTTTCATCTGAAAAGAGAAATTAAGATGAATAGGGATTCAAGTGTCTAGTAATAGAAACTGCTTATAATGACTTATTCCTTTATCATGAGCTGCTAAAAGTATTTTTTTTAAATCAAACAACAAAAACTTAGTTCTGAACAACATAAAAGGTCTGATTTAATTCTACCCTCTCCTATGTAAATCTACAAAAGAGGCTATGAAATACCTCTCTATGATATCCTTACACTATACGGGCATAGATCGGTTAAGATAGCAGCACTTGAGGTAGTATTTCATCTTTATTTAACAGAGGTGAGATGCAGAAAGTACTCAAGGCACACAAAAAATCAACTTCAAGAGGAAATCAAAGACTCACAGACCATAGTAGATGTCAGATGCCCATGTAAAAAATGTGATCAGGAAGAGAACTTGGGTCAGACAACATACTCACAATATTCTTAACCCATCTATAGTCCACAGAAGTTCCATGGGGGACAGATCACACTGTCCCTGCTCAGGAAACAGAGAAAAATCTCATTTTGAGAGAAAAGTATGCCTAGATAGGTGTCGTGAATTCATCTGTGCTGGATCTCCCCTCACTTTCAGAGAAAGCTCTGCCTTGTGACTCCCCAAAAAGCCTTGTCTGGTCTCTCTACTGTAGGATCCCCTTTAGCCAGCCCTGGGATGGCTTTTAGAAGAGTAAGCCTTGTAGCTGAGACCCTGGCTCTTCTTTGTCCCTGGATCCCCCAGCTAGTTGTGACATCCTCACCTCAGAGAACTTCTTTGCTCAGCTCCTAGGAAGGGAAGGAAGGGGGTTGCCTTTTCAAGGGGGAGTGTCAGAGTGCCAATGTCCCAAGCAGCACAGCGAACTCCCTGGCTGGCACTTGCAGAGGGGGCACTGGTGCTCCCGCTTGCCCCCATGCCCACTGGCTAAACAGAGAGCGTGGCCTGGCAGGGGGTGCTCCAGCACTCTCACCTCTATGCATTGCCCCTGGCTGAAGACATTTCAAAACAGAGCATCTTCTGTAATTTGTCTGTGCTGCTTCCTAGCCTGCCACTTTTTAGAATGGGAGGGGGGGAAGGGAGAGGAGGGAGTTCAGCCTGGGGTTTTTTCAGCCCCCACTGGAGGGTGGGATGGGTGTATTGGACCCCCCTGAGGTGGCTGGGGCTCCAAACCATCCTCCAGTGCCAGCTGGGGAACCCCTAGAATGAGCTCCCTATGCCCCCTTTCCCCACTTCCCATTCTGAAAATAGTGCTGGCAGGGAGCTGACAGGGAGGAGGGGCCATTGCTAATGGGTTTACCCTTCACCCTGGAACCAACAGTGAACTTCTGTTTGGTCTGAGGGTTTGTTGTAACTCAGAATGCTTCCTGGAAAGCATTCTCAGTTACAGCAGAGAGCTGCACTTCTGTCTGTGCCCAATGTTATCAAGATCCAAGTACAGCAGTCACTGAGGCCTGCTGCTATACCCAAACAATTATCTTTCCCTGGGGTAAACAGGGCATCAAGATGTCCTACTATAAATCTACCGACAGCAGGAGAGGCAACTTGTGGCATGTGTGCAGCCTCTTTGTGTGGCATATGGCAGACAGGGAAGTAGACAGACAGCACAATAACAGATTGGGCAAGGAGCACAGGTCAGGAAGCAGAAAGCAAAGTAGCAGATTAGACAGAGAAATAGGATTGGAATAGCATTCAGGGAGAGCGTGAGACCAATTTATGGCACACCTGCCCACTGAGCAAGTCTCATACTGAGTCTTCTGAAGTGTTCATCATGAGAATTTTAGGCTAGAACTCAGTCCACCTATCATCCTTGATAACACCAGGCTTATTTGATTCATTTCAGTGTCACAGTCACAGAAAGGAGTGTCCAGCAGCCAACCTGAGTGGCCCAGCTCTGGCAGCCCAGAAAAAGACTAAGACAGATCCATTGTAACTTTGTAATATATGAACGGCTCATGCCTCCGGCAGCTGTGGGGGGGTGGAGGGGGCACAGATGTGCCAGCAGTGGTGGGAGCATGACAGGAGCCCAGAAGTGGGGAGTAGGAGGCTCCTGCAGATGCCACTGGCACTGTCAGCAGTGGGGGGGGGAGGGGGACAACAAGCACCGACCACAGGTCGGCGACCACCCTCAGGCACCACCAGCAGTGAGGGCAGCAGCCAGGGGCAATCAGAGACCAGTGGTGGGGTGGCAATCAGTGACTGCCCACAGGTGCCACTGACAGTGTCAGTGGTGCCTTTTTTCAGGGGGTGCACCACCACACGCAGGGGGTGCGCGTGCATCCTCATGCACCCTCTATGCATCACCCCTGTTTTAATATATAGCTATCAGTTCCAGCCAGCATACAACAGAAAGCTAGACAGAGATGAAACAAACATCACCTGAAAAGGCAGAATGTCCTGTAGAAACTCCTCTTCCTGCATATTCAAATACAAATGACAATTTCCAGAATAAACTGGCAATGGACTTACACTTGCTGATCAAGATCAGTGCTGAAAGGAGGCCCTGGACATTCCAAAAGACTGGAATTTGCCATGGAATTTGACTCTGTGGAACTGCACTGGGAAAGGCAGCAATTACTATCAAGGAAGATAGAAGCTTATCACTGCACCCTGTAAATACAGCTTTATTTCTAATGTGCAAGATGGAAAATAGGATATTTCTCTAGCTGGATATATTTTGGAATGACTGGAAAAAATATACATTCAGTTTATAAAAAAAAAGGAGAACATTGGCAATGAAAGGAGACAGTTCACCAATGTTAATATTGTGGGGGAAAGTTGGCTGCAGAAATTATTGTTATAAATTTAAGGCTTGCCAGGACAGAACATTAGTGAAAGCCCCTCACCAGTTTGAGAAATATAGAGACAGCTATAGAAAGGGATACTATTTAAAGATAGAAGGAGCCCACAGTTTTTCTTTAAATCTTAATGAATATTTGTTATTAAACAATAAGAACAAAAGAAGTTTGCCTACCAAATATGTAATAGGATCAATGAAATGCACAGGTATAGTGGACACTGCATTAAAACTAACCTGCCTGAAAAATAACACCTTCTGGTCAGACAGGCTAGGAAATAGGGAATATAAAACTGAACTGTCTAAGGGTGTTGTTACATATCACAATTCACACATGGTCACTAAGGCATGTTAGGCAGAATGAAAGTTAGCATGTTCTGTGAGTGGTCACACATCAAGGGATAATACCCTCTAATACGCACAGCTCTGACTTGCTGCTGGAGGGCTGGTAAGCAGGTCCATGGCTAGGAGCTGCCAAGTCTGCCCAATAGCTGCCCAGCTCTCCAGCCTCCACTCACCAATGCCTCCCACTGCCTCTCCACTCACCCATAGCTGCCTGGGTGGCCTTGACTCTCTACCCATCTAGGACAGTAGAGTTCTAGATGATAAATCATCCATGGGTGGAGGGGGGGTGGTGGAGGGCTAGCAGCGATGCATCTTGGGGTACTGGAGGACTGAAAATTACTGGTATTGGCCCCAATGGAGCAGACACAATATAACTACAATGTGAGCCGCCTAACAGCAGCTGGCAATAATGCTTGCACAGAGCCAGGACCTGGGGCAGAGCTGTGTTCTGCTCCCCACATGCCCCTGTCCACAGAACCAGTTTCCATCACAGGGGCATACAGAGAGCAGGTCACAGATCACAGCTATGCCTCAAAGCCCAGCCCCATACTATCACAGCCCCATCCCAGCCCTGGCCCACCCACCCATCCTGCTCCCAGGTGCCACTGCCTGCCTGCCTGCAGCCCCATCCCAGTCACCCAATTGAGCATGGAGCAGAGCCACTTCGAGAGTTTTGGTGAGCTGTTGTGGGGGAGTGTTGATCCAGCCTGCGACAGCTCACCCAAACTCTCTAAGTGGCTCTCCGGCCCAAATAATTGTCCGCCGTTACTTTAGAATGAACTGTGTATATTTTTGCCATTTAATCAGAACAGATATTTGCAAAGCACGAACTATCTCTTCTCCCCTTTTATCCTTCTTTTCTCAGCAACTGATACAGAGTAAGGGTAAACATCATGCATAGTTTGTGCTTCAGGCTAAACTTCAGCTTGAAACCTAGTATATTTGTATGCATAGCTTACCCATTTTAATAGCATATGTTGAATTTGACTAGATTTTGCTATAAGATTGTATTCCACTCATGTAAAACTTAAATGCATATGTGAAAAGCTAGCTAAATTATACCAAAAAAAATTAAATAAATCTGGTATATGTATAATGTTATCTTTGGGAAGCTGTCACTATTGCTTGGATAAAGAGCAAATCACCAATGCTGATGATTATGCTGATAGGCAGACTAGTAGGAATAGATACATAATGTACTTCAAGCAAAGAAAATAATATAACAGTGAGTTTTTCATGCGGATGGGAAGTGTTATATGTGTATATTAATTGTAAGTGATAGCATTATATCTCTATTTCAGAGAGAAATAAAGGTTTGAACATACAAAAAGACAAAAATTGCTTCTCCAGGCTGATGACCCTTTACACTCTTATTGTATGAATTGATAACAAATTTGGAAGTTCACACTGAATACTTGGATGATCCATTCAACTTAAACGCAAGCAATTTCATGCAAATGCTGCTGCCAACTAAATTATTATTATTTGGATTAGATCAGATGTGTCAAACTCACCAGGCCTCATAGGATTATGAGAAGCTCAGGTCTCATGAGTACTGCAGGGCTGGTCTGCACACCAAATGCAGCACATACCTCTGACCAGCTCTGCATGCCACATATAGCATGTAGGTCCAGTCCAAGACCCAAGGGCCAGATGATAGGGCTCTTCAGCCATATCTTTGACAACTCTATATTAAATGAATGCTTGAAAGCGCCACTCAAAATCAGGGTCTTGTGGACTGTGCATTATTCAAAGCGCATAAGAAAAGTCCCCACCTCAACAAGTCTACAATCTAAAAACAGGCAATCTAAAGCAGGAAGGGAGACAAGTGCACAAAAAGGGAAAGAAAAATAAAGGAAAATTTGCCAGGATGACAAGTGAGTGAGAAATCTGAAACAGCATCCAAAATGCACAAATCAAAGTCCAGTGCCCCTAGTTAGAAAGGGCTGGTTCCTCATGCATACCAGCTGGCTCCTTGCGCACACTACATTCCTCCCTGTTCTTCCTCCCTATCCATCTGTAATGTTTTGTTAGCATGTTACAATCAAATGGATTGTCTTGAGAAGAATTCGGGAATTCAGTGACAGGGAGTGATACTTCATACATGCATGCATGCATGCATGCATACATACATACATATGTATGTATACTGGTTTCATGGACAGGGGTGCAAGGCTGACAAAACAGATACCAAGCTTGAAGTCTTAGACTTCAAAAATGCAAATTTTAATAAGCTCAGGTCACTAGTAGAGAATGCCCTGAGAGATCAAGGACCACAGGTAAAGGGAGTACAAGAAGACTGGCTGTTCCTTAAGGATACAATCCTTAAGACTCAGAGAAAATCCATTCCCTTACAGAGAAAAAGTAGCAGACTCAAAAAACCCTCTTGGCTAAGCAGAGAAGTTGCAGCCCTCCTACAGAAAAAGAAAGAGGCATACAAACAATAGAAGCTTGGGACAGCCTCTAAGGAAGACTACTTGACAATGGCCTGCACTTGTAGAAACCAGATTAGGCAAGCTAAGGCAGAAACCAAACTAAAATTATCTACAAGAATCAAGGACAACAAGAAGTCCTTTGTTAGCTACTTAGGGAGTAAAAGGAAAACTAATGTGGGGCTGCTGCTCAATGCCTCAGGATACCTGGTCACTACCACTCAGGAAAAAATGGAACTCCTAAATGACTACTTTGCCTCAGTCTTTCACAAGACCAAGGAGAACAGCATGCCAGGTAAGGCACAGAACAAGGAGGGTGGAATTGACACCATTCCGACCATTGCCATAGAACTGGTGTACAATCAATTAAAAAAATTAGACGTATGTAAATCAGCAGGACCAGATGAACTTCTCTCAAGAGTGCTGCAAGAGTTGGCGGAAGTAATCACAGAGCCCCTGGCAAAGGTCTTTCAAAAATCACAGGCCTCTGGAGAAATCCCAGAGGACTGGAAGAGGACCTATGTTGTGCCCATCTTCAAGAAGGGGAAGCATGAAGACCTGAGAAACCACAGGCCAATTAGCTTAACTTCTATTCCAGGAAAAATCCTAGAAACATTCATCAAAGGGGCTATATGTGACAAACTTGCAGAAAGCATGATAGTGAATGACAGCCAGCATGGCTTTGTTGCAGGCAGGTCTTGTCTGACCAACCTCATTTCCTTCTATGATCAGGTGACTTATCACCTGGATAAGAGAAAAGTGGTTGATATCATATACCTCGACTTCCAGAAACCCTTTGACCTGGTATCCCATGAGGTACTGATCAGAAAACTGGAAGATATTGGGCTCAACTGCAGGACCATCAAGTGGGTGTGAAACTGGTTGCGAGGTAGGATGCAGAGAGTCCAGATGAATGGATTGGTGTCATCCTGGCAAGGTGTGGGCAGCAGCATACCCCAGGGGTCGGTATGTGGCCCAGTGCTGTTCAACATCTTCATCAATGACCTAGATGAGGGGGTGAAAAGCCCATTGACCAAGTTCGCGGATGGCACCAAGATATGGGGCTGTGCGGACACACCCGCATATAGGCTGCAGATACAAGCAGACCTAGACAGCCTGGCATGTTGGGCAGAACGGAACCAGATGAGGTTCAACATAGAGAAATGCAAGGTGCTGCCCCTGGGAAGGAAGAACCCCCAGCACACCTATGGACTTGGCATCACTAACCTGACCAGCACTACAAGTGAAAGGGATCTGGGGGTAACAATAGACCCCAGCATGAATATGAGCCAGCAATATGATTCAGTATCTGCTAGGGCCAATAAAACTCTGGCCTGCATCAATTGATGCATCCCCAGTAAATCCAAAGAAGTGATTCTCCCACTTTACTCATTTGGTGCGGCCACAGTTAGAGTATTACATCCGGTTCTGGGTGCTGCACTTCAACAAGGTTGTGCTAAAGCTCAAGAGGGTCCAGAGAAGGGCCACCCATATGATCAGGGACTTGCATGGCAAGCCATACGAGGAGAGGCTGAGGGATCTCGGACTCTTCAGCCTAAAGAAAAGAAAGCTGAGAAGGGACCTGATTGCGGCTTACCGCTATATCAGAGGCATACATCAGGGGCTTGGTGAACAACTGTTTACCAGGGTGCCCTGGGGGAAAACTAGAAACAACAGCCACAAACTCCTGGAAGATAGTTTCAGGCTGAATATTATGAAAAATTTCTTCACAGCTCACGTGTCCAAACAAGCTCGCCCCAGAGGTGGTGCAATCATCTACCCTAGAGGTCTTCAAGAGAAGACTGGACGGTCACCTGGCTGGGGTCACCTGACTCCAGATGTCTTTCGTGCTCATGCAGGGGTCTGGACCCAATGATCCTTCAGGGTCCCTTCCAGCCCTATGATGATTCTATATATATATATACACATACATACACACACACACACATATATATATAAAGCCAATCAACCTACATCAAAAGTTTCAACTCTGCTAATACTACTTTAATAAGTTTATTTATTTATTAGGTTTACATTCTGCCATACCCAAAAAGGTTCCAGGCCTCTAGTGTGCACTTCAATAAATGCTACACACCTATTTGTGGAAATACGACAGTACTAGGATGTTGTATGATCTCAGACCAAAACAAAATAAAATCTGGGTGATGAGCCCATAGAAACAGTATGCCACCTCAAATAAAAATTTAAAATCAGATGGTCAAAACAGTAAGGCCAAAGAGGGCACCAGCATCTAGAGCTGAAGAGGAAAATATAACAGCGATTTTGTAGAAAGCGGCTCTGGAGGACACTCTTGGGAAAGGGTTGTGTAGATGAGAACCTTGAACCAAGGAGTCCTGCTGCTTCTGACAGAAGCCAGTCTATACATCAGGACAAAGAGCAGGAACACAGTAAGGATAGAGAGGGAGCTCTGTTACCTAGCCAGATCATGACTTGATCAATAATACTATAATAATTTATAATATTATAAAACTAAATGCTCTAAAATTATTGTTTCAGCAGTTACATGTCATTTTAAATCATTCATACCCCAGGCCGCATTCCAAATGCTTACGCTTAGCCAGTTGAGCTAGTAGTCTAAGCTGCAACCCAGTTCCACCCACAATTCTAACAACCATTGTGATGGCACATCTAGATTTCATCCTACTGTAGTTTCCTAGGTAACCAACACACAGCTGCAGAAAGAAGATGCATTCAGGACGAAGAAAACCATTTGTCAGCATTTACACATATTTCTGTGCTTTAAAATAGTTTAAAGAATATCAATAAAAACAAATGCTATACAAACTTATGCAAATGAAAAATTACTTCACCTTAGGAAAGGGCAGGATTACTGCATGCGAGAAATACAGAACTCATGAACAGAGCTAGTCGGAACTACCTTCACCTCTGCTCCTCACCCCCAGTAGAAATTTTTGATGAAGTGTATTCTGTAGAAGTTTTCTACAGAACACTCTCAGTTTTCAGCAGAAAACCAACAACAAGTTGGGGATGAAAACTGTCAGCTGCAAACAGTGAAATAAAGGGGTCCTTTTGATTATATCTTTTATTGGACCAATAGTGTAGTTGCAAGAAACATCAAACAAGCTTTCATGCACAAAATGCCCCTCTTCCTCATGCCTGGACTTGAAGACCTGAAGAAAAGCACTGGGGTACCTGCAGACATGTGGGATATCTGCTCAGACGTGCTGAAATTACAGAGCATCAGAGCAGTTAAAGTGCCCGCACCACCATTTTGAAGCATGGGATGCTGAAAACATGAGAGGCTATAGACAATTTAATTAGAGTGGCTCCCAAGAGCCATTGTAATTAAAGTGCCCTCCCCCCACCCACCCCCAGAGCACATTTAAAGATGTCCTAAGTTTTTGTGCCCAAAAGCTCATCTAACATTTCTCCCAACTCCATAGTTTGCTCAGTAAAAGATATCACCAAAAAAACCTTGCTTCTCACAAATTTTCTGGATCATCAGACCTACAATAACATTCTAACCTTCCTAAGTGAAAACTGAATTCTTTTATTCAGAAATGCAGCACTATATTCTTGGGGCATTTATACACATGCTCCGGGAGTGATGTGGGGGGAGGTGCTTTAATTAGAGTGGCTTCAAGATCCACTCTACTTAAAGCTCTCAGCATATCATGTGTCCAGCTGAAAAATGGTGATGGGGGCACTTTAACTAAAGCTCATCAAATAAGCTTTAATTAAAGCACTCCCACTGCCATTTTTCAGTTCAGGGATGATGATACATATGACGCTGGAGTCTGTTGGAGTGCAGTAATTACCACACTCCAGCACACTTGATTAATCGAGTCTGCTCCAACTCACTATATTTATAGTGTGTTGGAGAAGGCGTGCTGCACGTGTATAGGCACCCTTGGATATTATGTACCACAGTGATGGTTGAGACAGCTTATAGCATAGGCAGAATTTAATTAATTGAAATTTAAATTCTAAGAAAACATAATATTTAATCATTTTTTTTTCAATTTCAACAGTGAGTACTAAACAAAAGTATCTTATTTCTTCTGAAATATTCGACAAGGAAGCTAAATGGTGGGAAGAAGAAATTTTAGGTATTGTTCTTCTGTTCTCAATCTGAAATCCTGCAGGCAATAATTAATCTTCATTGTATTCAAAACTTTCATTTACATGATGGCTTGATTCTTTTTACTGAGCCTCTTCAGTTGCAGAAAGCTTCAGTTTGCTTTCCAGTTCAGGTTCCCGTCTGCCACTTTTAATCCTCATTTTTATTCCTGCTAGTTACTCATCTGATCTCTTTGATCCTTTGTAGCAAGCCTTGAACTCTGTTTTTATTCAGATTAGAACCCAGTGTCTAGAAGTGGTGTTTTCTTTTCCCTGCAGTGTTGCAGCCTTTAGCTTGTTTAAGCTTGTTTTCTCTTTTCAAAGTTTTCAGAGGTTTCATTTGTATTTATTGTGTTTTCAAAACATTCTTCAGGATGAGAGAAACCATTAAAATATGGCATGTGTGACAATATTAGTTTCTCTGCTGCCACAATTGTATTTATTTAACTTCTTTCATTTCTTTTTTAATCACTAGGTGTTGAATATAAAATATAAAGAAAGTTGTGTATAATGCAAGGTATGTTACAGTGAAGGAACTGACGCTTACCTTACCATAACAGTTCTTCAAAATGTTGCTGTCAGCATGGAATCTCCTATTGTAGTGCGCCTCTTTCAGGAGCACATGATTGCAGTCTTTTGAAAGCAGTGTACCCTGGAGCTGAGCATGTGCCTTGTGCAGCAGTGTAACTAGGGAGGGGTAAGCCTTGATATTCAGTGGAAGGTACACCAATCAAATGGCAACACATAAAGTTGCATTGTGCTATCCACCTTGATAGCCTCTGATGAAATGACCCAGCAGTGTAAATAGGCATCTATAACCAATCATAAATTAAAAAGGAGACAGTCTAAGTGGCTTTGTTGTCCTGATGAAGTAGAGAAATCTCCTGGAAACTTCCAGCATATGCAGGCTTCCTTGTTCTGGACTGAAATAGGGTTTTGGGAAGAAGACAGAAAATTGATTGATGGAAGTCAGGGATCAACACAAGGATCAACTAAAGGTGTGTTTCAGTGCCACCCCATCATGAAGGTAGGGTTAGGCCTAAGTGCTTGGAACTTATTCGCTCTTCAGCCCAATATGACAGTAGCTAGAAACCTGCTTTCAGAATAAAGCCACATAAGGAATAGCCTAAAAGATGCTCTAAGGCAGGGGTGGGCAAAATACGGCCCGTAGGCTGCATCCAGCCCACAAGGCCATTCTATCCAGCTTACAGGGCCCCTAAAAAATTTAGAAAATTAACATTTATCTGCCCTTGGTTCCTGTCAAAAATGACAGAAGCCAAGGGCAGTAGTACCCATGGGAAGCCCCAGCAGGCTTCCTCAACAGCAGGACCTGCCAGGCCCTGCCCCCACCCCAGCTGGAAGCCCTAGCAGGGGCTTCTGGCCTGGGACCACATGGCTGCCCAGCGTGCAAGCTCTGGGTGGACAAAAGCAGCAAACACTGTCCAGCGTGGCAAGCAGGGGGGTAACAGCTGCTGCCACCTCATGCAGCCCTAACGGGCAAGCCCAGAGCTGGCACAGGGCCCAAGCTGGCAGCGGGGACAGTTTACAAGCTGGTGCTGAGCATGGGGAAAAGTGGCCCCTCACCCATCCCATGCCCAGCGCCCCATGCTGCAGCCACTCACAGCCTGCCTGGGATTGCTTTTCCTGCTCAGGACAGCCTGCACAGGCTGTGAGTGGCTGCAGCAGGGAGTGCCAGCCACAGGGTGGGGGAGGAGCCACTTTTCCCTGAGCTCAGCTTTTCCCCAGGCTCCTTCTCTGCTCCTTCCTGGTGCAGAGGAAAGCGACCCTTCCCTCACCCCATGGCCAGTGCTCCCTGCTTCAGCCACTCATAGCCCATGTGGGACTGTCCTGAGCAGGCACAAGCAGCCCCAGGTGGGCTGTGAGCAGCTTCAGTGCGGGGCACCAGGCACGGGGCAGGTGAGGGGCTGCATTCCCCCCCTCCACACTCACCACCAGCTTGTAACCTGCCCCCACTGCCAGCCTTCGCCCCACACCAGCTCCAGGCTCACCTGTCGGGGCTGCGTGCAGCAGCAGCAGCTGTGTCTCCCCTGCTTGCTGTGCCCAGCACTGTTTGCCACCGCTGCCCCTGTGCTGCCCATCACGCAAGCTCTGGGGGGCAGCAGCAGCAAATGCTGCGTGGTGCAGCAAGTGGCAGGGCTGCAGCTGCTGCCGCTATGCACAGCCCTGATGGGATGACCCAGAGCCAGCACGGGGCCCAGGCTGGCAGTGGGGGTGGGTTACAAGCTGATGCTCAGTGCAGGGAAAAGCGGCCCCTCAACCGCCCTGTGCCCTGTGCTGTAGCCACTTGCAGCCTGCATGGGGCTGCCTGTGTCTGCTTAGGACAGCCCCTTATGGGCTGTGAGTGGCTTCAGCAGGAAGAGCTGGCCATGGGGTGGCCATGGGGCCACTTTTCCCCATGCTCAGCACCAGCTCCTTCCCAGCCGGGGAGAAGGGGGTCGGGGCTGCACGCTGCCTGCCGCCTGTACCGTGGGACTGGGGGAAAACTGGGAGTGACCAGGTGCAGGAGCCAGCGGGAGCACAGGGTCTGCACTGGTGTCCCAGGGCCAGTGCCAGTGGGGCTGAAAGCAGAGTGGCAGAAGCGCGAGGTCCCAGCTGGCAGGGCCTCTATGAAGCTTGGCCAGCTCCTCCCTCTCCCTGCTGGTGCAGCCCAGCCCAGCTGCACAGACCCCTGCCAGCCTGCACCCTACTTCGGGCCCCACTGGTGCTGGCCCTGGGACATTGATCCTAAGATATTGGGACATTGGTCCCAAGATGGTGACTAGGGGGCAGGGTATCTGTCAAGGGGCAGGGCTACCCATGCAGCCCTCAACAGCCTGCCAAAACTAGGTAAGTGGCCCTCCACCAAAAATAATTGCCGGCTCCTGCTCTAAGGGAAGCTCTATGAATCTCACAATTCCAGCCTGCCACTGTGAGGCATGGGGCTGCACCTACACAGCTGCCCCTGACCAAGTTGTATTGGGCTTCCTGTGACATGGAAAAGGAAGTCAATAAAATGACTTCCTCTTCTTCGTGAGAAGAGGAAGTCATACTGGTACCCCCTAAATCAGTGCCCAGGGCTTGTGACCAGTTACACTACTTGTCCAAGATCTCTGTAATCCAGGCACCCTGGCCCTGGTATGTCCTTAAAATCATCAGTTGCAAGAGTAGGGAGAAGAGTCAGTGCTTCATCTGGGGACTACAATGATGGTGGGGAATGTACTAGTAGATGGCAACATGTGCATCAGTGCCCACAAGATGACTGAGTTCAGGATCCTGAAGAAAGGAAGGATGGAGAGCAGCAGAGTAAGGACCCTGGACTTCAGAAAAGCAAACTTCAACTTGCTCAGGGAATTTATGCGCAGGATCCCCTGGGAAGCCAGTCTAAGACGAAGAGAAGTCCAGGACTGCTGGCTGTAGTTTAAAGAAGTCTTACTGAGAGTACAGGAACAAGCCATCCCAATATGCAGAATACCAGCTTGGCTTAGCAGGGAACTCTTCAGCAAACTACATCACAAAAAGGCAGCTTATAAGAAGTAGAAACTTGGACAAACAACTAGGGAAGAGTATCAGAGCATTTCTCAAGCATACAAGGATAAAGTCAGGAAGGCCAAAGTGCTATTGGAGTTGCAGATAGCAAGGGATGTGAAGGGTAACAAGAAGGGTTTCTACAGATATAAAGGTGCTGAAGGGTTTGCTCAGGGCTTGCAAGCCCAATCAGGGAGTTTGCACTGTTGGGATCGGGATTTGCAACAGGCTGTGCACACAGACATAGCAGCTGAGGTAAACAGCTTGGAGCTGAAGGCTGCAGAATGCATGCATACATTGGACAGTTGTAACTCCAGGGCGAGAAGCCTGGGAAAAAGAGAGAGCAGCTGCTGAGGGGTGAAGAAGGGTAGCTGAGGGCTGTGATGAGAAGGTCTGATCTGAGGGGAGCTGCTACCAGGACAATTGCTTCTGAAAGGACTACTGGCAGAAGAATTGTTTCTGATTAAGCTGCTACTGAGGGCAGAGGAGCCATAAGCTACTGAGTAGCTCTCCATCCTTGGAGGTTTTTAAGACCCAGCTAAACAAAGCCTTGACTGAGATGACCTAGTTTGAGCCAGAGGTTGGACTAGATGGCCTCCTGTCGCAAAGCACTCAGCTGCCCTGCAGCCTGAGAGCAGAAACAGCTTGGGAGAGAACCCTAGTGGCGGGAAGGGGGAGGCTCAGGTGCCAGTCACCAGGACTGCGCAGGTGCTGGTTGCTAGGGCAACCAGATAAACCTAGTGACAGGAAGGGGCAGGGCTTAGCCTTTCTTAAGTCCAGGCAGGAGGCCAGGAGGGCAGTTACCCTCTGGTGGCCGAGGGAGGAGGAACTCAGTTAGTGCAGACGAAGGGTAGAACTCTGACGGTGGGAACATCCTCTGGTTGCTGCTGGGGTTGGGGCGCTCTCTCTCTGGTAGGGATTGAATCTTGTTTGACCGGACGGTCTAGCTTTTATGTTGTAGCCCAGGGGCTTTGTGTTCTTGTGTTTATTGTTTTGACCAGAGGACCGGGTAAGGCTATTAGGGGTTGGAGGAGGCCTCATAGGGACCCCACAGTAGCATGGAGGAGGTCCTGGTGCCAAAGAGGGTGCAGCATTTTGGGGTACATTGGCCCCAGCCCAGAGTGAAGGGGGCAGCGAGGAGCCCCGGAGCGGGCAGTGGTGAGAAGCCCCAGAGCGGGCAGTGCGGGACAAGCCAGAGAGCAGTGGTAGGAACGTAGGTTGTGAGACAATCTAGAGGGCACTGGTGATGACGCAGGCAACGGGACAAGCCAGAGAGCGTCCGCGTGGCACAGAGAGTAGAACAGACCCGAACAACGTGAGAGACTGCGGGACCTGAACCTATTCAGCCTCCACAAGAGAAGGCTGAGGGGGGACCTGGTGACCGTCTATAAACTCACTAGGGGGGACCAGAA